TAAAAATAAATAAATAAATAAATAAATAAATAAATAAATAAATGTTAGAAACATAAAAAAAAAAAAAAGCTTTATGAGGAACAATAATATTGGAAACAACACATGCTCCATATAATCAATGAATGACTAGCCCCAATATCCTCATATGTTTGGAAAGGGTTAGATCACATTTATTTTGAGCAATAAGAAAATATTTTCATTGATAACTCTCACCCCCAAGTTTTTCAGTTTACAGATGCAACTTAAAATATCCTGTACCTCTGTGTTGGGATACATAATCCAATAAACTCAACTTCATATTCTTTTTATCTCCCCAGTGTAATTAGTACATATTAATGCAAATAAAGTTAATAAACTGAGACAATTATCTAAATAACCCAGATTTTAAATTTAGTTTCCTATCCAAAGAAAAGATTTGGACAGTTATCCAGTATCGGCTCAAATCTGCAAATGTAAGGGTGGTGATAAAAAGTAAGTACACTTACAACTTTCAGTTTTAATCTCAAAGTTATTTTCTTTTCAACATTTATAAGCACCAAGAACATGTTTACTAAGCAACACTGTAAGGAAAAATAAAAGTACTCCCTACTACAAACCTATTTGATTGTGTACTATAAGGATGAGGAAAACTGAGGGAATAGCCTTGATCATTCAAGTGAAGAATTAAGGAAATACTTCTTTAAAAATTAACCATAATTATTGGGATGCTATGGTTGAAGAAATAAAATAGGGTCTAAGTTGTACAGTTACCTCATTTTTTTGCTTGACTTTGTCATAAACCGGATACTAAAATATAAAATAACTATTTCAAGAAATCACTGAAACTTTTGAAGCTCTCAAGTTACTTTGCTTCAAATGTTATTATACCAGGAGTCACACTAGGAAGAAAGGTATGGATGCCATCAAATTAGATTACCAGAAAAACTCCCTCTATTTTACTTTATTTAATGTGACACATAAAGAAAACCCTGTACAAATATCTGTCTTTAATTTCTCTAGTGTAAAAAAAAAAAAAGGAAAAAAAGGAAATATATTGTGTCTGGCAGAATAAAACAGATAAAGTAGCCTGGTACATTAAAAAAAAAAAAAAAAAAAAAAAAAAAAAAAAGAAAGAAAGAAAGAAAGAAAGAAGAGGGGTTAGAAAGAAATCAAATGCTTACAATAAGCCTTCAAAGCCACTCCAGCAATAGGGATAAATAATTCAATAAACTCAACTTCATATTCTTTTAACTCCCCAGTGTAATAAGCACATATTAAAAAACAAAGCTTTAAATTCATGAATATTTGGGATCAGAATAGCAACCAGCAGATAATGAAAAAACACAAAACAATATAGTTGTGAACATTTAACATGTGTGTGCACATCCACTAACAGGTAAATTTTTCCAGACGAAAGGTCACAAGTGCTTAAATTTATGAACATGTAATTCAAATTTAAATTAGATTTAAAAAAAATGCAAACCTTGCAGTTCTACATTTCTCAACATAATAGACTTTTTCTTTAAACCTAATAAGGTGACTATTTTTACGCTACTTTTTTATCCCATAATATAATATAACAAAATGGGGATAAGTTACCTAGGAAATAGCACTTATGGAAAAATATTTTGCCATTGTTATTTTGAATGCTTTGAATTGTAAAAATCACAGTATTTGTTTTATATTCATTAATAAGTACCAAAATTTATGATGATGGTAAGCTTGTGACTTCTTTGGACTTTTTTTTTTTTTTTTCCTAAGTGGTATCTTTTAAATCAAGGTTGCCTAGTAAACTAGGTAAATGAAATGGGGGGAAAAATCGAATTGGTTAGTCCTTAAAATTCCAAATACCATTCAAATGTAAGCATCTCAAATTTTCATTAAATCATGATGTTTTTTTATTCCTCCCTTCCCCCTTCAATTAGGTCAGTTTTCTTCAATTATCATTCTATTATTAGCTCATGTCAAACATGCCTGCATAGCATACCAATGAAAGCAATTTACACATATCGTAAAGCATGGGACACACACAAGCTTTTATTCTGGTACTAAGATTATATTCATAGTAAAAACATAAGACTGGTGTCATTCGAGTTGTTTTATAAAGTTTTCATATAAGTAAATAAGTTGATATTAAGCTATCTCCATGTATTAAGTAGTCATTTGAAGTAGGTAAGTGGTTCAATGGGGCAAATGATATTTCAAAAAAAAATTACTATACAATAGTTAAATTACCCCCATAAAACAAATCTAACTCCAAAACCTTGATTTAAAAAGGCTAAAATATAGCAAAAATTTTATATATCTTTTAAGTTCCTTTCCATAAGTCATTTCAATAAAAAGAAATAGTAAGGAATAGAAAGCACATTCCTCAGAACAGTTTGATTTTCCCTTCAATAGTTGAGAGGTTTATGCGATCTTTGGAAAGGTTCAGATACAGAAAGCAATTCATTTCACGTGTTCAAATGAAAATCACTGTGATGTAGCAACAAGCAGTACTTGCACGGGAGTAAAATAGTTTACCCCCAGAGATAATGGCGGGTGGGTGAGTCCTGTGTTATGTAAATCACTGTCAGTGCCCTGGGCGAAGCAGGGTGCTATTGGGAGCAGATCAGTAAACACTCCTGGTGTCCTTGAAACGGAAGGACTTCCCTTTCGTGGAACACTGGAGGGCTAAGGCGTTTCTTAGTCCTTTTCTCACCATCCATTTTTCTTTTTCAAAGTGCAAATCCTTAGGAAAAGGCCCCGGTTACACCAATTAGTTTGCACAAAGTGCTTCAGTGTTTAGCTGCTTTAACCCAATTAAGCCGCACAGTGCGCCCTGAAGATGCGCCACCTGCGCGCCTGGCCGCAGCGGGGACCGCCGGCCGCCCTCCCGCGCGGGCGACAGAGCCGCCCGGACAGCCCGGCCACGGTCCCCGGAACGGCCTCGGGCCTCCCGTCCCTGGCTGCGCCAGGTTCTCGATAACTGGGGAAATATGCAGGTGGCCCGAGAAATGGAGAGGTGAGTCCCGTCCAAGCATCTCTAGCCTGAGCCCCAGGGGGAGCGCGCAGGGCGCGGGGCCAGGGGCCGCGGCCAGCGGTCAGCAGGCGCCGGTTTGGCTTCAACCACATGCGGGCCTGGGGCTGGGAGGTGTGTGGGCAGAGACCGAGGCTTTCCGCGGACGTGAAGAGACCCGACACGCCGAGTAAGGTTTTTAAATAACGGCTTACAGAAATAAAGCCTGTGTGGTTGAGAACAGAGAGGGGAAAGGACGGCCCGGGAATGCGGAGTAGCGGCAGAGAGGGGACCGGCGCTGAGAGAAGCACGGAGGTGGCTTTTCCCCAGAGGCTAATGCACATCTTCGCCTTAGTGGCCATGGGTTCTTCCGCTCAGATTTGCTTCCTCTTCCAACTGCCAAAAGGTAGCAGTGCATTCACCCGCGAAGCCAGCGAAGTGGGGAGGGGCATTCGGTGATCCCAACCTCAGTTCCAAAGGGAATGGAAGATTCTCGAGGAATAGCGCAGATGAATGCTGTAAGTTCCAAATCTAATGTATTATTTTAAGTTAAATCAGAATGTATCTCTCTTGGATAACGAGACAGTAAATAATAGGTGCTTTTGTGATGCACTGCTGTCGCTACCCCCGCCCCCAAATCAAAAGATTGAGTAAAAATTGGGGCCCTGAACAAGATCATGTTAAAAGTTGTTCTGAAAGAAAGCGCCTACAAAATTGTTCCCAGGCATTAGAGGATTTTGCTGGAAATATTCTTAATTTGAAAGAGAGGGCATCTAAATTAAAGGTTAGCGATTAAAAATCTGCTTAGGTTTTAAAACCACTGCATAACCCTAAGTAGCATTTCTTTCATTTACTAGTTCATTAAGGACATAATTGTACCAGAAAAAAAAAAATCTATGTAAATCCATTTCCTCCTCTGTTTCAAGGTACCAAATTTAGAAATGTTGATTTCTTTCTAATTTTCCCAAAATATTATTTAATTAAAAATCCTGGATGACTGTAAATTTTCTTTTAAACTTTTAATCATTTTTCCTTAATCAAATCACTTAAAGTCATATAAAATTAGAAGTCTACTGTCAGGTCAGCACTAAGGACACTTAAGAGAGGAGATATATCCTTAATTATACATCTGTAAAAACGAGCAAGAAAACACAAACCTGCAAATTTTCAGGAAAAATACCTGCCAGTAGGTCTCATTTCAATTATCTTTCTTGAATTTCCCATACAGCTCATTATGAACATATGTTAATAATCTCTCCATCACAGAGGTAATTGATTTGTCAAATATTTCTATCAATGCATACAAAACTTAGTGTCTCACTTGTAATGTTGGGCAAGCCTACCACAGTACAAAGAGGAAGGGAAGGTGTACTAAACATTTTTTAAACACCCTAACTTAAAGTGGGGTAGATAACTTTTGGATCCCTCTCAATAACTGTAATTGAGGTACAAATACAATCCGGATCTCTGCCCCAACACATTGCATAATATTTTTTAAAGTCATTCTAACATATAGGAACATCCAGAAAGCCAACCTGCATAATCAGGAAAGAGCAAACTTTCAACTTGTATTTGAAAAGACCTCCAGGATTGTCAGTCATTAATGATCTTCTTCCTCTAAATGTATGTTGACTCTTGTCTTAAAAAACCCCAACTAGTTCACTAATTGGTGGAGGACCATGCATTCACCTGTATATGCATTTCAGCGGTAAAAAGCACCAAGAGCACCACTTTGCCAAGTCTTCTTCAAAACGTCAGTATGCTTCAGGTAATACCAAAGCTAAGAGATTCCTCTTGGTTTCCAAAAGTGTCTAGGTGGCCTGGGTGGGTTTCTGCCTGCAGCAGTCTCCTACCTTTAGTTCCTGAGCCTATATCCATGAGGGGGATTAATTAGCCTGGCTGGAGTCGAAGGAGGCTGTCGTGACGAGCCCAGTGGCGATTGGCCGCCAGCCTGCCTGGCCCTGCCTTTATAATTTCCACACCAGTGCGTCTGGGCTCTGAGACAAACCGACAGCAGCTTCTTCTGACATATACACACGCACACTCACCCCTGACACACTCAGCACACTTTTCCTCCACCTGATTAACAGTCTTGCACACACAATGACTCTGGAAAAGGGTAAATAAAGAGGGAAAGGGCTTATTTTGATTTCCGAAGAGCTTTGCTGGGTATCAGCGCAACTTTGTTTTCATAACTGAGAAAGAGATCTCTCCATGCGTTTCTCTCCCGCCAGGATTCTTTAAAAGAGGAAGAGCGGCCGAGAAAGGGGGCGGGGGACAGTGTTTCACTTTAAGAGTCGCTGGGCGCCCAGACACCAGGAGGGATCGCGGCAGCTAGAGCCCCCGCGGCGGCGTGTCCGGACCGGGTCGGAGACGCTCGGAAAGCGCCGCAGTTTCTGCACGAAGTTGGCTCCAGCTGTAGCAGCCGCGTTGGATCCCACAGCCTATTGCGAGACTCCGGTGTACAATCCGGATCTCTGCCCCAACATGATCGCGGCCCAGGCCAAGCTGGTGTACCACCTGAACAAATACTACAACGAAAAATGCCAAGCCAGGAAAGCTGCCATTGCTAAAACTATCCGGGAAGTCTGCAAAGTCGTGTCCGACGTGCTCAAAGAAGTGGAAGTGCAGGAGCCCCGCTTCATCAGCTCCCTCAACGAAATGGACAACCGCTACGAGGGCCTGGAGGTCATCTCCCCCACCGAATTTGAGGTGGTGCTTTACCTTAACCAAATGGGGGTTTTTAACTTCGTGGATGACGGCTCGCTGCCCGGCTGCGCGGTGCTGAAGCTGAGCGACGGGCGCAAAAGGAGCATGTCCCTCTGGGTGGAGTTCATTACCGCCTCCGGCTACCTCTCGGCGCGCAAAATCCGATCCCGGTTTCAGACGCTGGTGGCTCAAGCCGTGGACAAATGTAGCTACAGGGATGTGGTGAAGATGGTGGCAGACACCAGCGAAGTGAAACTGCGAATCCGAGATCGGTACGTGGTCCAGATCACCCCTGCCTTTAAATGCACCGGGATCTGGCCGAGGAGCGCTGCCCACTGGCCGCTTCCCCACATCCCCTGGCCGGGACCCAACCGTGTGGCGGAGGTCAAAGCGGAAGGGTTCAATCTCTTGTCCAAGGAGTGCCACTCCCTGGCCGGCAAGCAGAGCTCGGCAGAGAGCGACGCCTGGGTGCTGCAGTTCGCGGAGGCGGAGAACAGGCTGCAGATGGGGGGCTGCAGGAAGAAATGCCTGTCCATCCTCAAAACCTTGCGGGACCGCCACCTGGAACTGCCTGGCCAGCCCCTGAACAATTACCACATGAAGACTCTGGTTTCCTATGAGTGTGAAAAGCATCCCCGCGAGTCCGACTGGGACGAGTCTTGCCTGGGCGATCGGCTCAACGGCATTTTGCTGCAACTTATCTCCTGTCTGCAGTGCCGTCGGTGCCCTCACTACTTCCTACCTAACCTAGACCTGTTTCAAGGCAAACCTCACTCTGCGCTAGAGAACGCTGCTAAACAAACGTGGCGACTGGCAAGAGAGATCCTGACCAACCCAAAAAGTTTGGAAAAACTTTAGAGAACAGCCGAAACGTGATTACTCTTCTCAAAATCCTAATTAAGTGTACACTTCCTGTTCGATCCCCAAAATACCATTTGACAGTGCAAACAATCTCTTCCTTAAAAAGGAATAATACAATGCTTATACACCATCTCACCCACCCCTCCAAGGGGAGAAAAACAGTGGGGAAAGCAGATAAAGGAAAACCCCAACCCACGAGTATTAGAGATTTCTTTCAAAGGATTTCGTAATTCTCTTGGAAAGTGCACAATGACACCCTGAAAACAACCCAGCTGTAATGCAAGCCCACAGGGAGCATTCTGCTTAACTGTCAAAGGATTATTGCAATCCTGGGGACTTAGGTGCATCTGTCTGTGAGTAAACATGATTTGGATATGCCATCTGAAGGAAAGTGTAATGTATATTTTTATTTGTAACAAATATTGTGATCTCACATTGTCTTTGAAGTGTGGATGTTTGTGTTTTGTGATTTGGTGAACAGAAGTTAAATTGCCATTTTGGATACTTCCAGACATTTTCCTCAAACAAAGATAACATTTAAAGGTAGATTTCCTCCCCATACTTTATCTGTCTTTGAAAGTGTCTGAACTTTTAAAAGTTTACATTTTGTTTCAAATATATTGCTTGTTCTATTTCTAACATTCCATAAATATACTTGAAATGTTATTTAAATATAGTCAAAGAAATTTGAATTCAGCGTATATAATAACGCTTGAATATCTGAATTATATATTTGAAAAATGCACTTGAAATACACTGGATAATTACTTTTGAGATTTAGATTTTAATTTCTGTTGCAGGTTTTTATTTAATTAGAAGCTAATAAAGAAATAAAATAAAAATTGTGTCACTTTAAATTATTTTTTTTGAAAAGATGTAATACTTCATTTTGAAAATTGAACCTACTTGAATATTTTAAATATTACAATGTGGTTTTTTTTTGTAGAGCTGCAAAAGATAACAGTATACTCTTACTTTCTAACTTACTTATAAGACTATTTCTTCCCATGACAGATACAATTTAAATCTACCCATGAAAGCTTGCTCTTCTAGGTTAGTATTTCTGTATCATTTTTGATGATATAAGGGAAAAAATGTTATGACAGTGAAGGCTCCTGAAGTTAAAAATCAGACTAACAGAAATGAACTAATCAAAATCATAAAAATTTTGAAATTTGTAAATGAAAACTATGCTAACTAATAAAATGAAGATAATTTCTGACCAGTTAATGTCAGACCTTATTTTATGCAGTGTTCAAATAGCTGAGTAAATTAATCAGAAATCCAAAATTCCTTTTTACTTTATAGGGCTAGCTGATAAAAAAAAAAAAAAAGCATAAAGACAAACTTTAAATTATTTAAAATCAAATACATTATATTTACACTTATTTGTAAAATTCAATTATTTTGGATCTAGAAGTGAAAGAAGTCCTGTAACAATCTCTCAGAGAGTGTTTCAATAGTCAACAAGTGCTGAGAAGAGCGAATCATCTATGGCCTCAAGGTTATTAGTTAATTCAGGTGGGGGTAAATTATAGAATTTCAATTGCTATTCTACAAATAGCATTTTATAATGCTTTATTTCTATATAAAATTTAAATAAAAAGTATAAAGTTCTGGGAGCATTTATCTTTGACTATTTTAGAATAATTGTCTCTGAAAACTACTTTAAAGGAAGACATCAGTAAAATGATTCTTACATATCTAGCATAACACTTCTGTCCTTGAATTCTTAACCTCAGGGGGAAAAAAAGTTGACAAATTGTATACTTCAGACAAGTTAAAATAACAATAAAATTGATTGCAGAAGAACGTGCAGAGGTGTAGAACTGCCCTAATATTCAGGTTTTTAAATCTACACAAGACATATAAAACAAACAAAATATGCATGTTAAATCCTCCAAATGTGTATTTTCTGCCATGGTACCAAGAGAAGAATACAAACTTTAAACATCCCAGCACATTTTAAGTAAAAACTTTCCAGATAATCAATTTTTCTTCCTTTTAAATTCACGTGTAAACCCATTCTTATTTCAGAAAATAAAACATGGATGTAATAATGGAGATTATCTAAATGTATCTCTCTCCCTGCAGTTTCCTTATAACCTTTCAATCAATAATAATTCACACTGAAACCTACAGTTTTGGAAATTAAAAGTGAATTCAATAAGAAATTTCATAAAACCCTTCCCAGTCTTCTCAGAGAGCCTGAGATTCTGTATCACAGGGACTAGGGAGCACTTGGCTTAACTACCAAATCTGCCCAAATGCACACAAAGGCATTCATAGACAGACTGTTAAAATGTGCCTCCTCTGGTAAGAATTTAAAATCAGTAATATAGTTTTCAATCCCATAAAATAAAGCATGTGCTTCTTCACCCATTTTATTTTCTATGAGAAAGATGGGAATCTGCTCCCCTCCCCCACTGTCATTTAAAACCCAGCAAAACTGAAAAACACTTCCTCCCACAAAGCCGCCAGTCCTGTAGCCTAATCGCTTTAACTCACTTTAGAGTCGATCTTTTTGAAGGCTGCGTCATCCTCATCTACCTCGAAGTAGATTTCTGTCGTGGTGATCGAGAGAGTCCCTTTGGCCACCACCACGGGAGCGATGAGCTGGGCAGGCGTGCTGAGGACCACTGGGCCTGAAAGACAAGGGCACCCAGTCAGGCTAAGTCCTGTGACACTCTCTGGCTCCTTCCCAGAGGGGTACCACAGGCTTTTATTTTTAAAGATGCACCAAAAAGATGGGGCCTATACTATGTCCCTTCCATGCGGTAAGGTCAGCTTAGCTTTCACAATTACCTTAAAACGACACTAGAAATAAATACTTTTTATAAAAACCTAATAGGCCAGACAACCGAATAAGAGACCCTTAGTAAATGAGTTTGCAACCTCCTCCTAGTAATCCTACATGGTTGGTGAGACGCTGCGATTAACTAAAAAGTGCAGAACGGACTCTCCGAGGCCCGATTCTGCACGGAGCATCCTGGGCAGCCAGCGCTGCTGGAAGGAGACAGTCCTTGCGTGAAGCCCCGTAAACCGGCGGCAGAGCTCCCTGGGCTGGGCGGGCGGGTGTGAAGCAGGCGGGATGGTAATGTAGAAAGTCCAGGGCACTACGGGTTTGCATCGGGCAGAGGGATTAGCATCGGTGTCCTGATGGCGTGCCACGTACACATACACGCGCGCGCACACACGGACAGTAAACACATTTCTTATGTATAGCAGTGATTTTTCTAACAGAGAGCCAGTCAAAAGGTGATGAAATTGTTAAGAAATATGAACAAAACGATTCTCAGGAAAACGTCTGAAAAGTTCTAATTCTCTATTTTTTAAACTAGAGAAATTAAGCAAGCTGCAGTAAAAGATGTTTAGACAATGTGTCTACTAAGGCGCTTACTTCAAATCCCTTCCATCTGAGTTAGAATCGAAAATTAGAATTTCGCAAATTAGACTAGTATTAGGGGGGTTGCTTAGCAGTTTGTTTACGATTCCCCGAAGAGGAGGCATTCTTAGCTCGACTGCAGACAAGGAAATCAGAAATGACGCCTGTTCTTCTGTAGCAAGGACGCATTACGTTCCCTTCCATTATCCCCTCCCTTGCAAGGAGTCACAATAACAGCAATGTAGCGATAAAAAGGAGGGTCCCCCGTGGACACTGAGGCTCTTACGGCCACGGCCACGGCCACGCGCGGGCCGGGAGGCGGCCGGCGGGCCCGGCTCGCAGGCATCCGCCGCGGCCGCACAAAGCCGGCCTTCCTGCCGCCGGAGGCCCGGGAGGACTAGGCCGGCGGCAGCCGCGCTCAGAAGGGTGGCTGTGGAGCAAACTGTGTCGGTGTCAGCCTACACCCTGGACCGTGACTGCCTGCCAGGTCGCTAACACTAAACCCTTTCGTTTATTTTATGGCTTTCTCTCCCCGCCCGAGCCCGCAGGGGGGCCCGCTGGGGTCTCGGCCGGCAGCTTCCGCTTCTGAGCCAGCGGAGTCAGGGGTCCACCTTGGCTCCATGAGGTTTTTCTTTCCAAAGGGCAAAGCGGTCGATCTGAAGCGCCACTTTAAAGACTCATCAATCTTAATCTAGGTTGCTCAAGTAATTATGCCTGAATCTCTTGTATGATTACAAGTGGGTTTGGGTTTCTATTCCCCAGGCCCTCCTTTGTGTTCATTGGAGAGTCGGTATGGCGCTCACAGGCGCCCCTGCCTCCCAAGCCTCGCTCAAAATCCCCAAAGCCAGGGGCATCCAACCGGCTCCCTTAACCCTTAAACTTCCAGGACCTCTTCGGATGCCACTCTGCGATTTCCCTTCTGGAGAAACACAGGTTTACTTTTGTTTAGGACAAGGTGAGAAAGGAGGTGATGTGATTCACATTAGAAACAAAATATCTTCTTATTCATCCTTGGGCCTTGCTAAATAAAACCTTAGGAAAGTCCCTATTGTAAACACAGGAAGATAGTGATTTCTGGTTTAATAGAGTTTTCTGGCAATTAGAGTCCAAGAATGGTAAAAAAAAAAAAAAGCAAATGCTTTTTTCTCTTAAAAAGTAATTCAACAGATCCAAACAATTAAATTGGAAAGACTGAAAATATATCATAAACACATTATGAAAAGCATACACACTGATTTACTAAAATATATTATGAATTTCAAATACAGTTCTGTAGACTTTTAACAGGTAACACATTTTTTTCTCTACATGTTTCTCTGTGTTTCTGAAAGGACACTGCACTACCTTTTGATTTTACTCCAATCTTATTTTATTGAATTGCTATTTTCTGGGGGTTTATAAAAGGGCTTCAAAAGGATCCTTCTTTAAGAAAGACATGTCATAAAATACTCAGCTTTAATAGTGTGTCATTTTTACCCTTGTCCTTTGGAAATACTAGTATTCAATTACAACTTCCAATTCCATGTTTAAAGAGCACTGAGTCTTTTTGTTGTAGTCTTCAAGAAGCAAACTAGTCACAGAGAGAATGCAGAGTTAATCCACTACAGCAATAGAGAGAGGGGATTATACATTAATCCCGTTTGGGAGAGCCTCATGATTTTAGGGATCTCATATGAAGATATTTACGTAATGCACAATCACAAACCAGTAGACCTTCCATCTGGAATATGTGGATATTTGAAAGCCTCTATACCTTAAAAAAAAAAAAGGTTACAATGGGGCAGCATCTCTGGATGCAAGAACAATGGTGATCCAGCAGGTTCTATTCTAGAAGATACATTGGTAAAAATTTAACCTTTAACTTTGATTACTGTAGTGAGACAGGGGACATGAATGTAGGTATATTCAATCCAATCACTACTATAGCAATAAAAGGATAAAATATAATGTTATCAAAATATAATGTAGATGTATTCAATCCAATCAATGCTATAGCAATAAAAAATAAAATACAAAGCATATACTGACAAATAATAAAGTATGGTTAAACAAATGGATGGGACAAAACCTCCTCCCCTTATTGATGCCTATAATAATTTAAAGCTACATCATTTAAAGTGGTAATTAAAGAAAAAGAAAAATCATTTACATTTTTGAATTGGGAATATAATGTTTAAGAAATCCTGATCCATTATTATTTTTGAAAGAAGAATAGGGATATAACTTTTCATTTTAATGCTAATTTAAAATCTGAATTAAAACAAAGGTCAATTTCCAAGCATAATGCAAAGAATCTTTAAAAAATAAATTCTCTTTAGAACCATAGAGTCTTTAATCCACTGAGATGGTAAACCTAGAGTAGAAAATAACATATGTTTTATATTTGAGAAGGGAACTATTCATGAAATATATTTTAAAAGTAGAATGTTAAAAAAACACTTATGGGTTTGGATGAAT